ATTGACAAAGCTAGTCGCTTTAGCACTCAAGCGGAAAGGTTGAAAAACAACCTTTTGGAGCACTAGCCTTAACTTACTGCAGCAGATCGCATGCTTATCTCCTGTCGGTGGTTCCATTTTATCCTTGGTTTTCATTTTGGTTCTTCTTTGTATTTTCCTTTCTACTTGACCAAGGAGACACAGATCGCATAGTTCTTAAGTCCAAATAATAGATCCTATCTAATCTGTCTACTCTATGCAGATGATTTAGTTTTTATGTAGCAGTCAGGTGAAGGACTAGAAAATGCTCTCTCCATCCTTTCAGAGTATCGTGAACATTGGCTTTCATCGCTGAATCCAAAGAAAACTAAAATTATGATTTGCGAGAAGAAATATAGGAAGTCTACCCTTAATAAACACTGTTTTCATATCAATAGGCACAACATAAGACATAATGTTGTTGTTTTGGTTGTATTTGGGTACATCTCTGATAATGAGCTTAGAACAAAGGAAACTTAAATTTATACCAAGGACAAAATTGAACCAGTTACAGCCACATGAGGATTTGGGCTGGTACTCTCGGGAAATGTTAAGACGTCTCTCTTTCCGTAGCAATTTATTGACCACAATTTGTGTTCGTCTTAGAACTAGGCATTTCCCTCATGAATGTGTTTTTCCTTGACAATGTAGAATGTCTTGTGAGGATCTTTGTAAGGTATCACGCTCCAGAGGGTGACTTTGTGGTCAAGTTGATGCCCTTACAGCTCACATCCGCTTTAGCCTGGTTCAAATGAAGTTGATCAGATTGCTATAGTGATTGCTGTTCTTGATGTTGGAAATTACATAGGTGAGTGAGTATACAGGCCATGTTCATGACAGCACAACGCGCGTGGGGGTCCAGGGTTCCTGGAGCTACCAATACTACAGTCTGCCGTTCGCTCTTGACTTGTGGTAAAGAAATGACAGCCATTAGAAACTTTTAACTCCATGAATAATTATCATATCAACCCTTGACATTGATTCCTCATTTGGAGCTGTGTGTACGCAACATCTCAGGAAATTTATCATCAATTGCATTAGTTGTTATATGCTCTAAAGGTGCAAGAAATCCAGTGTGTAGCTTCAGGTTCAGGTCTTAGCAACTTTCACAGTTTTTATCTGTGTCAAGAAATAAGCAAAATTCTCTCTTTTCTTCAGTTGGAACAGGTAAGATGCAACAGGAAGCAACTGTTGTTGTGAGTTGTGGTCTAGCTGTCAAGTGCATCGATCAAGGATGGATCAGGGATGAAGGGCTAATTTTACAACCACCAAAACAAGACAAAGCAATACATAACCAAATGTCCCTAGTAAATTTTAAATGAAATCCAGTGAATTCGAATCCCATCATATTTAGAATTTTTGGAAGGAAATTTTAGGCAAAGCCTTTACATCTAAGAAAACATGACAATTACTATCGTTACCCAGTTTAATATCCTTAACCATACGATTCTTTTTTTTTTATGGTAAAGAAATCCTAGGTTAAAATAAGCACCTTGATCAGACCTGATGAGATTAGAGTCTTGAGTTTGTTAAGCATGCTTTTCTTCAGATTTTCTACTCAAACTTGAATGAGTATTGTTTCTTAAGTCGAATTTTGTGATGTCATAAGTCGTGAACTATGTGCAATTTTAGTGTAAATTTACATTTTCTCTGTCTTTAAGTCAGACGGAATGACAAAAAATGATAATTTCAGTAGCTAAATCAGTTTTGGAAAAAACAAAATAATCTCCTCGCTACTGAAAGGGTTTTTTTCCTCACAACATTTACTTGAGATGTGATGAAATTAATTTGGAAATTATTTTAAGGAGCATTATAGCAGAAAAAAAAATCTGACTGGTATTGCTAATAGAACATAAATAAAGGAAATTATCATTTTTCAGTCATGTCCGCTACACAAACATTTGTTTGTAGAATCACTGGAATAAGGTTGCATGGAATTTGTTTTGGACAGCTGGAAAATTTAATTATTACCATGTTTTGAAGGCATTCCACGCCGTCTTCTTCTAAATTTATATCATGCACTTGTTAATCCTTATTTAAATTATGGTATGTGTGCATGGGGCAACTGTCCACAGACCTACTCCAATAACTTACTTGTTCTGCAAAGACGTGCATTGTGTTTGATTTATTTTGCTAAAACCAGAGACCACGCAATTCCTTTTTTATTGAATTAAACTGCCTTCCTCTACAGTCTTTGTTCTTTCAACAATCAAGCTATTTATGGTATGATGTCCACGCTAAGACAGCTCCAAAAAGTCCCCTTAATAAGTTTGCGAAAATCAGCACAAAACATCACTATAAAACGCGATCATCTACCATGGAGTGTTTCTCTAGAACCGAACAAAATTAACCATTGTAATCTTCGTCTTTTTTTTTTTCTAATAACAAAACCCCTATGCTTGAGTTTGTGTGAGGGGTTTTTCTATTCCTTTTTTCTTAATATGCAATCTAATAACGCCTTTATTTATAATGTTTGTTCTGCCTAGATTAGCACTATGGCTATTTGCAAGGCATAAAATATTGTAAGCTTATGGATCTTAAATAAAATACATTGTTGTTGGTGATCATGAAAAAAGTTCCGTTTATTGTAACGCTAAACTCGTAGAAAGTGAAAAATTTTGTCTTTGTTACTCGATGTGAAAGCAGTCTAAAAGCGTTGAGCCTACCAAGAATGCGTACATTGCTTGAAAAATTTTAAAAGGGTATTTTCCGCTGTGTTTACATTTGCGGGTTCCGCACCCCCGACACACCCCCCTCTTGAGCCAATCAAAGAGCGCTTTCTAGTACATCCACCGCGGACCCGAATATCGCTGTCACTACAATATGGCTGCTAGCTTCCTGGTAATTTCTACTCATTTTAATTATTGAACTCGTGCTCTTGGACGTTAATGTAGACTCATTCACAGATTTGAATCAAGCCTTCTTTTGTGTGTTAATCCGTCTGTCGCCCCTCGCGAGGAAGTTTTTGAAGTGGAATGAATGGAATCGAACTGGAATTGATGCAATTCCCAATGGTAAGAGCTGAAATTTCCGCTTCACCGAACTTTGACAAATGGAACCATCACTTTGTTAAGAAGGTTATTGGTAGCTAGAGATCTAACTACCTTTACAGTCATTGCTGATTTTTACACTGTCGAATTAATATTATACAGGAAAATGTGCGGCCATTTTGAAACTGGGTTTGGTCCTAACCTTGACGATGTACGTTTGAAATTTTTTCATGGTAGTCTTTTGTTCGTAGGGACCAGGTAATGCGATTGACGCCCGTAAATTAATCCTTCCGGACTGATTTTCAAGCGGTATTCAGTCGGGAAGGGGTGAATACCACCCAGAAATAACCCTTACCATGACCTAAAACTAAAACTTTGATCTATGCGGGTTTATTACGTGTATAAAACTTGTCCAACGCTGACCGCCAATATCACACTTTCTCAGCCATGATTTCAAACGGGGAAAGATTTTATGGACCCCCAAAGATAACCCAACACGATGTTCATGTAAAACTTTGAGTTGAATTTATTACCTCATTTTCAGTATCTGGCACTTATTAACAGTGGTAAGGTAGGTGGAAGAAAATGAAATTTCCACAGAACAGCGGCTTTGTGCGAATCTCATAGAGAGCTCATCTTAAGAACAATACAAGTATCTGCTAAATAATGCAGCTTTGTCGCTTGTCAAAGGTGTATGTCTCTTGTAATAAACAAGAGACGCATATCAGAAAAACCTAACCTAACTAGTCAACTTTCTATTTCACGGGCCAAGTATAAAGATCACTCTAGTACTGTGACCAAAAAAACCAAAGGCTTGTTATGATGCATAGTAGATTAATGTACATACAGCAATCAAATTATTTTCTCAGAGTAAATGTGACCCTTGCAGGTAAATGCACGTGAACTAAGCCACTGGAGAAAAGAGAAAAACCCCCAAACCCTAGCCTCGAACATCAGGATTTAAAACAACTTAAGGTGAGTGTGCTTATCATTTAGCTGCCCGGACCACATTCACTTAGGTGCATTTCGTGCAGTACAATTTGCAAACTTTGTTCCAAGTGCAAAACAACT